AGTCATCTTTTAATCTTAAAATCCAGTTTTAAACTGGCTGAGCCTTAGGTTTTCTGTCTTTTGATGTAGCCAACATTCGCTTTCTGATGGAAGACCATCATGTGCTCAAAATGACAGAAATTATCTATGAGAATAGTAGTGTTATTTGCTACATATTTGGAACTGATCTCAAAAGGCAAACTGGAAAAAAGAATTTTCTTGATTGCCCTGGTATATAATCCTGGCTTTTTCCATATAGAGACAAAAGATATGAGAGCAACAGCATATGGCAACCTAGTTTGAATATCAACTTTAGTGCCCATACTGCCATTCTTCCTACAGAATAGCTATTTCTCAACTACTCTAGCTTGGTAAACATCAAGAGACCAAACCCCAGTTTAATAAGGCATAATTTCCATTTAAAGGGCTGAATCTGAATCCCTATTCTGCTTCTTCTTAGCTGTGTGAATTTATTTGGGCAAGTTCTTTAATTAGACTTTTCTCATCTGTAAAGCAGTAATAATGAATCATGTACCACTTCTGTATCAGGTTGCTAAAAGTAATAAATTAGGAAACTTGTGTGAAAGTATCTATTTTAGAGCCTGGTATTTGGTATTGGTGTGACCTTGGGACAAGCCATATAAGCTTTCATTTCCACATTTCCCTATCTGGTTTCATAAGGTGTTATAAGGATTAAATATTTATGCAAAAGTATTTTTTGGCTAGCTGCCCCCCAAAAAAAGCATTTTTACTAATTATATAAAATACTATACAAGGTATAAATTCCCATTTCATTTAAGGTCTCCAAAAAGATGCCATTTACTGCAGATGTGCCTTCATTAGTGACTTCGAATACACATTGGGAAACCAGTGAAGGAAATGAAAAAGCTAGGTAGAATCAAAACTGGAGTTAAGAATTACTGTTAGTTAGTTACCCTTTCTCATAAAATAAAACATAACTCTCCGTAAAGGGGGCTAAGTCAATAGCCCTTGTATCAAAAATCTGTTTAAAAAACCAGCACACCTTTTCTGAAAAATGGTAGTTCATTCTGTAATAAATATGCTAATTATCCTGATTTGATCATCACATATTGGACACAAGTATTGATATTTAACTCTGTACCCCACAAATATGTTTAACCAATTATTTCTCAATAAAAAATAAGATAGTCCAAAACATTTAGTTCAATTTAACAATTATCCACTGAATACTTACAATGTACTAGTAACTATGATACAAACATAAAGAAGACTTGGATCCTTCTGTTTGAGGAACCCATTTCCATAAAGCAGATACACTTAAAAAAATAATCACATACAGGTGATAAGTGCAATCAACAGCATTAGCACATATGCGGTACAGAGGAGCAAATAATTAGAAATGATACCTGAAATTTTTTTTTTCTTCTTTAAGTTTGATTTTGAAGGATGAATGAGTTTACCAGTCGAAGAGGGAGGAAAGAACATTCCAGACTAAGGTGCAACATATACTGAAAGGCAGGGAATCATAAAATAGTATAGTCTATTAAGTTCTGAATTTCAAGATCTTAAAGTGCTAGAAAGAGGGCCATTCAAAATGACAGGGGAGAGGGAGACGGCGTATCATAGAAGGCCCTGACTCTATC